TTCTACATTCGCTGCCCCCGTGCTAGAATGAGCCATTTCTTCAAAGAATCCTGATTTCTTTTATTGCAGAATGAGATGAGGAACCAACTGCTGGGTGACACGGAATTTAATTACCTGATCTCTCACTTCTCGAATTTCTATTCTGTTATTCTTCAAATCTGCCATTTTCATACGACTGTGACATTGCCTAACCTTGTATTCAAAATTTTGTTCTCTTTGAGGGCACCTGGGTGGCTCAGTCGGTGTGGCATCCGACTTGGGCTCAGGTCATGATCTTGTGGTTTGTGAATTCCCCTGATGGGCTCTCCGCTCTCGGCACAGAGCCCCCTTCAGATCCTGTCTCCCTCTCTCTCTGACCTCCCCCGTCTGTTCTCTCAAAACTAAAAATAAACATTAAAAAAAATTTTTTTAAAGAATACATTTTTTTCTCTTTGAGCCTTTTTTTTAAAAAAATTTTTTTCAATGTTTATTTATTTTTGGGACAGAGAGAGACAGAGCATGAACGGGCGAGGGGCAGAGAGAGAGGGAGACACAGAATCGGAAACAGGCTCCAGGCTCCGAGCCATCAGCCCAGAGCCCGACGCGGGGCTCGAACTCACAGACCGCGAGATGGTGACCTCGCTGAAGTCGGACGCTTAACCGACTGCGCCACCCAGGCGCCCCTCTTTGAGCCTTTTATTCATATCTTTTAAAAATCTCTCACTTTGCTCTCTTAGAGTTTCAGGGGGTAACTTGTAGTGGCTGCTAATTCTATGTCTTTGCATTATTATTATTATTGTAGTAAATGCATCTTCAGCAATGACTGTCTGTCTTCCATAGGTGTTTTTATGTCATGGGTAATGGGATACTTTCTTCAAAGCAGTTGGACTTCAGTGCAGTTCTTAACATTAATTTTCCAGCTCTGAGATCTTATGAGGTAGTGTGGATATAATCCTCCTGTCTTGGCCAAGCAAAGGCCTGTAGTTCCTGATTTCTTTTGGGTCACCCAACCCAGGGCCCAAGTCGCAGCATCTTTAGACTACCAGGCAAATTTTCTACAGTAACTTCTCTGGGAGACCAGGGTGTACAGGGCGTCTCAGCCTGAGCATTTCACACACACTAGGCTGTGGCTTGGCATCCTGTCCCATAATACATTAAGGTCCCGGCCCCCCATCTCTATGGGATCCTGATTCTCTAGCAGTACATTAGCTCAGCTCTGACAATGAATTTCCTCTTTGTTACTGAGACCTAAGGATGAGCTTGTCTCGCTTTCTAGCTGAACAATGTTTATAAGTCTACGATATATATTTATAAGTATTTATTTCCTTCCTCCCTCTCCCCTTCCTTGCCTTCCTATTTATTTATTTATTTATTTATTTATTTATTTATTTATTTATTTAGAAGTAAACTCGTATTTACAAGTGTTTGAAACAGGAGCAAATGTTTCTGCGTCCTCTCCTTTTACTTTACCTAATGAAGACACACCTGTATTACTGGCCAGGTGCTAGGCATTGTTTCCGGCAATTTACAAATAGTCACTTAGTCAATTGCCATCACATCCCTATTGGGTTGCAGAGTTTACCCTGTGATGTTAATGTTTCCCCATTCCTTAAATTTCAGTTCAAATGCTTCCTTCCCTGTGACGTCATCTCAGATAACCCCGGGAAGATTTTGAGCTTTTTCTCCTATGCCCTCACTATATTTTGGACTTTCATCAGAGCAAGGAACTATACTGTTCTAACTTGTTTGCCTATTTCACTTCCCAACAGACTTTAAAATCATGAAGAGCAGGATCCATGCCTTTTATCAGTGCAGAACTAGCATCTACCATGGCACAAAAACACGTCTGGTACATTTTTGCTCAATTTTTAAAAAAAAAAACAATGAATTCTGGGGCGCCTGGGTGGCTTGGTCGGTTAAGCGTCCGACTTCAGCTCAGGTCATGATCTCACGGTCTGTGAGTTTGAGCCCCGCGTCGGGCTCTGTGCTGACAGCTCAGAGCCTGGAGACTGTTTCGGATTCTGTATCTCCCTCTCTCTCTGCCCCTCCCCTGTTCATGCTCTGTCTCTCTCTGTCTCAAAAATAAATAAACGTTAAAAAAAATTAAAAAAAAACAATGAATTACATCACATGAATGAACAGCAAGTCAAAATGAAGGCAGCATGTCAGAGTTCATATTGTCCTTGTGACTGATTTTGCTATAAGAAATGCAAATCTAGTTAAAAAAATTTTTTTTTCAACGTTTTTGTATTTATTTTTGGGACAGAGAGAGACAGAGCATGAACGGGGGAGGGGCAGAGAGAGAGGGAGACACAGAATCGGAAACAGGCTCCAGGCTCTGAGCCATCAGCCCAGAGCCTGACGCGGGGCTCGAACCCACGGACCGCGAGATTGTGATCTGGCTGAAGTCGGACGCTTAACCGACTGCGCCACCCAGGCACCCCGCAAATCTAGTTTAAATACAAATTAATTATCTTTTTTCTTAAATAGTAATTGTCACCCTTCTATGACTATCATTTGAGCAAATATCAAAATTTAAATTTGTGATATTTACACATGTATATTTCAGAGATATATTTGCAAATGCATTATGATCACAACCCTACAAAATCCACATTCTTGCCTTTCAGGATATTCTAGAATCATTTTCACTGTACTTGGGCCAAGAATAGTAATGGTACTGGACTCAGAAAGAAAAAGTGGGAGAAGGTTTATAGTAAGGATTTACAGAAGAAAATATGACTATCATATAATCGATTAGTGGAGTCTGGCTGTAAATCAAAGGATAAACCACTCAGGGGTCCACTTAGCTGGTGGAGACAATATAGTCAATGCACGTGGGCTTTGGGGTCAGAGCTGAATTTGGATGATCTTTTGGACACTCTTTAATCTTTGCTTAGAACACGCTACTGTCTTGATCTCAGTCTTTCTGTTTTATAAAATGGGGATGAAGCTGATAATTTTTAGGGTCGAGTTGATGATTAAATGAGATAAACTTTGAGACAGCATGGAGCACAGATGCGTGACATTCAGGACATGTTAGCTGATACCTTCTAGCTCCACCCCATTCCTCCAGGAATTCTTACAAGTTCGTTATTTCCTCAATTTGGTTATAATGCCTGGGTTATGTGACGTCCCGCAGTATGTCATGTTTCAGAAAGCAAGAGGATACTTGTCTGCCATTTCTTTTTTAGCAAGGGTCTGCTGTAGGACAGGCAGACTTATATCCTGATGGACAAGATAGGATGAATGGTTTAATTTCAAGCTCTCTATCTTTTAAAACCGTGACATTTAGTTCAAAAAGGAGTTTGGTATCTCTACAGTTCGTATGATTTTATAATTTCAAAATGGTTTTAATGGGATTATGTTTTAAAGATATTGCATCACTTTTGTATCCTAGAAAAGTAAAATGTTCTTCTTTCCTAACTATAATCATTCTGTAATATTGATCTTATGACCCTTTATCAAAATGAATGAAATTGTTCTCTAACGTAATTAGAGTCACAATTTATTTTCATGCTGCAAATGTTCTCTAAGTGGGTAAGATAAATTAAACTCTCACTTGCTTTTGACTAATATTTAATTAGGCATTAAAGATAAGAGAAATGCTTAATTTCCTTTTATTCCATTTAGTGTGATTATTCACTTGGTATAATACTGATAATAAAAATGATTATGTGTCTTCAACTTCCAGTTTACAAAATACTCTTAACCTAACAGCTTATTAAATCTTTCCCAGAATCCTTTGAGATATGTATTACTACCAGCATTTTATAAATGAGAAAAAATAGTTTCCAAAGTTTAGTTTGGCCAAGGTCACAAGGCTTCTCAGTGTAAAGCCAGGACTGTACTTTATTTCTTCTATGATACATAATATATTAGGATGTTAATTGTTCTGCCTTTATTTCAAGTTCAAATGATTTTGCTATAAGAAATGCAAATCTAGTTTAAATACAAATTAATTACCTTTTTACTTAAATAGTAATTGTCACCCTTCTATGACTATCATTTGAGCAAATATCAAAATTTAAATTTGTGATATTTACACGTGTGTATTTCACAGATATATTTGAATATAATTTTGAGCGATGCCTTAGACTTTAGACATTTGTTTTAAAAAATAGTATTTGGGGGTGCCTGGGTGGCTTAGTAGGTTAAACATCTGAATCTTGACCTCGGCTCAGGTCATGATCTCCTGTTCATGAGTCAAGCCCCGCATTGGGCTCTACGCTGGCATCATGGAGCCTGCTTGGGATTTTGTCTTTTCCTCTCTCTGCCCCTCCCCTGCTCGTGTGCGCACGCTCTCTCTCTCTCAAAATAAATAAACTTTAAAAATAACTCAATAAAAAAAGTGCTTTGATTTTTTATAAAATACAAATATAATATTGGAATAAATGTCATCGGTAGTGCAGTGATAAAGTGAAATGCACATAGGCACACGGAGACCCTGTATGAAGAATCCCTTTGCATCTGGAACTGGGTGACTGTATATCTTCTGACATTAGGTAAAGATACACATTGTTGAGGACGTTATCCTAAGTGAAAGGGCCGGTCACAAAGTACAAATACTGTATGATTCCACTTGCATGAGGTGCCTAGAGGCATAAAATTCATGGAGACAGAAAGCGGGATGGTGGTTTCCAGGGTTGGTGGCGGGTGAGAATAGGGAGGAGTTTACCCGCCACAGAGTATCAGTTTCGCGAAATGAAAAGAATTCTGGAGATGGGTGGTGGTGATGGTGGTACAACAGTGCGAATGTACTTAATACTTTCGAACCGCACACTTAAAAGTGGTTAAGGTGGTAAGTTTTCTGTTGGGGGCGGATTAAGCATAGGGAATCTGTAGCACTTTTTAGTGTCCTTGGATTTTAGTAAGTTGCCACTAGCTGGTAAGTGGAACATGATGAGAATAAAGACGGTGAACGGAATAAGGCAGATGCTGGTAATAACGGCTAAAATATTATTCCAGCATATATCCAGGTGCCTTCCATACAAGAGTTTAAATGTGAACAGAATTCTTACCTCAGGTCCTGAAATGGGTCGGCTCTGACGAGTGGGGTCTCCACTGAATGTTCAAAAAGGGCGCCTTCAGGCCCTAAACAAAACCAGAGATGCAACTTTGTACAGAAGTCAGATAAACAGCATCAAGGAAATGAAACATTTAGTTTATACACTAAAGCACAAGAGGACTTTGACTTTGTTGCTGAATGTGTGCAGATGGAAGCAAGAAACTGCAACTAATATACAGGAACTAATGTATAGACCAATGTATAGACCAGTGAGCTGAAATTATTCTCAGAGGGCACTCTTTTACAAGGAACTACAACTCGGCAATTAGTCTTTAAGGGTATAACAATTACTTTCTAATATAACCACTTAGTCATATTACAATGATGTGTGGTTATTGTAATGGACATAAGTACAAGGCAGGCATAAAGCCTATCAACTGATATGTATTATCTTTAATTTCTGCATCATTGAAATTGTCGATGCACAAATTATATGACCTTACTTCTGTTATTACTATTTGGCCTCAAAGTAATATTCCTCAGGACCTATTTGCACACATTACACTAGATGTTTTGTAAATGGTTTCGTAAAGTAACTCTCAGTAAATCTCTGTTAATTTTCAGTGTAACTATGTTTCCCTTATATATGCATTCATATGAAGTATTCCCAACCAAGATGATATAAAAATATATCATTGGTGTAACATCTGTTTCTTGTGGAAAATAGGACATATTATTTAGGGTCATATAATCTAATTTAAACTGGGAAAAAAAGCTCCACTATAAAATATCATTATATAAACAATGCATTTAAATAACTCTGTAGAGTATGATCCTGTGTAACCATTTGTGTAAGGGAAGCAGAGTAATTTAAAAAGCCTAGTCTTGGGGCGCCTGGGTGGCTCAGTCGGTTGGGCGTCCGACTTCGGCTCAGGTCTTGATCTCGCGGTCCGTGAGTTCGAGCCCCACGTCGGGCTCTGTGCCGACAGCTCAGAGCCTGGAGCCTGTTTCAGATTCTGTGTCTCCCTCACTCTCTGACCTTCCCCCATTCATGCTCTGTCTCTCTCTGTCTCAAAAATGCATAAACGTTAAAAAAAATTTTTATAAAAAAAAGCCTAGTCTTACAACGCTAACTTTTTTTTTTTTTAAAGAATGTATCACTAAGATTAGATGTAGTAAATGGTCTGGTCATTTCCACTAGAAAATGTCAATAGTTTGGATGACTCCATCTTTCTCTCCTGGAACACAGAATAATTTATGGTGAATGGATACTCATATGAAGACCTGTAGTAAGACTGTGATATAAGAGGAGTTGGAATGGTGGTGAAGAGTTCACAGAACCCACACTCTAGAGTTCATGGACATAACCCAACACTGAAGGGGAAATTGCTCTAGGCTGCCTCATCCTTCCCTACCCGTGGCAGGTTCCTTCGGTTCAGAAATACAGACGTATTTCAGTAAGAATACTACTGCCCAAACAGTGGATGATATATGCCTAGACACCAGTTAGGTTTTTATGTCTACCCTGATAACTATTTATTAAGATTGATTCCACATGAGCACTGAGTATTTATGGACTGAAATGAGCTTTACAAGTGGTGCAAAAACAAGAAAGATTTCCACTGGCTTCATAGCCAGACTCCCACATGGTGTCTCTCTACTGCCTCCGGTCCATTCTATCCTGCCACCAGTGCGAACGGCCTTTTGCCTTAATACTCCAAAGAAAATGCTTGGTAAGAGAATAATGACCTCCATGATGACATATTCAATGACAGTTTCCATCCTCATCTTTCCTCGACCCAAATTCTGGGAACACAGTCTCTCTTGGCATCGAGAAAATGGCTCCTGTGATGTTTCTCCCACCACACTCTGCCTTTTCACACTGTCCTTTGCTGGCTACCCTTCCTCTATCTGGCAGGCCCCGATGTTGGTATCTCTCAGAACTCACTTGGCCGATGATACCCTCATTTCTATCTCTGGTCAAGACTTGAACTCTGAGCATTAAATAGCTCACATATCCAAGAGCTGACTTGGCATATCCATTTGGCTCTTTCAGACATATCATACATTTATGCATCTAAAACATTAATTGTCTAGTCTTTGTTTTGAAACTGTATTTTCCTCCTCAGTCTTCTCCAGTATCTAGAGAATAATGCCATCATCCAGAAACAAATATAATCTTTTGATCTTTGGTTCCCTCTCTTAATATCTGCCACCCGTTTGATCTATTGGCACATCTTTGTATGTCAGTTCTTAATTTGGAGTCATTACTGTCCTTCAGTGGCCAATCCTGCCACCTAGCCAGGTCACCAGCATCTACTGCCTGTACAGTTGACATGCTCCTAAATGGTCTTACTGTTTCCTCTCTTTCCTCCAAATGATCTATTTTCCCTCGTAATAGGTTATATTGATCTTAAAATGTATAGATCAAAAAGCACCGTTTGAAACAATTCAATGTCTTTCCACTGCATTAAAAACAAATCCGAAGTCCTTATAATGGCCAACAAGTACTTGCATGAACTGTTTTCTCTCTATCTCGCCTTACACCAGGCTTGTTTCAGACTGAAATTCCATATGATTAAAATATAAAAATCATGAAATAATATCACACAGATATGCCCAAATAGAACAGTTATCCAAACAAATGTTGACTAAAATATAAAAATCATGAAATAATATCACACAGATACACCCAAATAGAACAGTTATCCAAACAAATGTTGATTAAAATATAAAAATCATGAAATAATATCACACAGATAAGCCCAAATAGAACAGTTATCAAAACAAATGTAAATGTTTTATTTTTTTAATATTTAATGTTATTTATTATTAAGAGACAGAGTATGAGCGAGGAGGGGCAGAGAGAAAGGGAGACACAGAATCTGAAGCAGGCTCCAGGCTCCGAGCTGTCAGCACAGAGTCTGACATGGGGCTCGAACTCACAAACCGCGAGATCATGACCTGAGCCGAAGTTGGACGCCCAACTGACTGAGCCATGCAGGTGCCACAAAATGTAAATGTTTAAAACTCCTCATTAAAGACCAAAGTCTAGGGTCTTCTGGGTGGCTCAGTTGGTTGAGTGTCCAACTCTTGATTTTGGCTGAGTTTTTGATCCCAGGGTCATGACTGAGCCCTGAGTTGGGCTCTGCACTGAGCATGAAGCCTGCTTGGGATTCTCTTTCTCTGTCCCTCTGCCCCCTCCCCTGCTTAGGTGCTCGCTCTCTCTCTCTAAAGCAAAAATAAAAACAAATAACCCGCCCCCCCCCCCCCCCCAAAAAAAAAACACAAGGTCTATTTGAATGGGTTAAAAAAATAAATTTCAGCTAAATGCCACTTTCAAGAGAAACGTAAGTCATTTAATATGAGGATTTAGGTTGGAAGGGTAATTTAAAGAGGTCATCAACTTCCTACAGTTTAGAGAAGTCATTGCACAGGGAAGTGATGTTTAGCACTGATGGAATCATTCTGTGATTAAAAGGGGAATATCAACACATCTAAGAGAAGCAAAGCGGGAGCAGAAATTATTGGACCACTGAATTAATCAACCTGCAGACTTCTCATGTAAGATAATACATGTCCTTATCACTTAACCCAGCTTTAATTGGGTCTTTTGTTCTTTTCAGCTGAAAGATCGTCAACTGATGGGCCAGGTTATCCGATGTCCACAGAGCTTCATTACCAAGTGTTTGGAGATCTTTGGTTATGTTCTTAAAGGATATGGTGATCTATTAGCATCTTGTAGATAATCTGTCTTCATGTCTTTTTAAGGGACCTGGACTTATCACCTTTGTTTACGTCCACTTTTTCGGTTGTTGAAATCTTATTCTCCAGATCCTCAGTGGCTTTGTGAGTGACTGCAGTGTTTCTCCACCATCACTTCTGACTTCATGTAATCCTGCTTAGCCACAACAGGTGCAAAGAAACTGAACTGGCTTATCACTGAATCTTGCTGTCCTCAAGGGAAATTGGATACCATTATAGGACCCTGTTTTTCTTACTAAATGTTGGGGAATGGGCCCAGCCAAGCAGATCACTGCCAAGGAATCAAAGTAGATTTTTTGCCAGAAGTCAGTTCTGGCAATAGCCTAATAAAACATTTTTTTGAGATGAACTTTTGATGCTGCTCCAGTAATATGTTCTATAACTGGGTTAACAAAAGGGCATGCTAACTTTGGTCACTTGGTGACCAATTCTATTTTTAGGGGGAAAAAATAAGACTGTTTAAAGGCCGTGATCAATTTCAAACCGAGTTCATGAAATTATTTAATCTCCTCCATAAATCTGATTTAAAAACAATTCTTCAGTTCCCCAGCTGACTATAGCCTAAATGGAAATTGCTTAACACAGAACATTGTGTAAATGTAATGGTAAAACATCTTAATTTGATACATTTATATATTGTAAGATGACTGTCATTGTAGTGATAATTAGCATCTCTATCATGTTACCTAGTCGTCCTTTCTTTTTAGTGACTGTGATAACCAAGTTCTAGTCTCTTAGCAGTTTCGATGATTAAACACAATAATGTTTTCTATGCTCATTCCAGTCTGCATGAGACTCTGGGGTTTATTTACTACTTGTTGCAAGTTGGTACACTTACACAACATCTGTCCTCTCCCCCAACCCCTGGCAACTATGGTTTTATTCTTGGTTTTTATGAGTTTTGCTTTTTTTTTAGACTCCAAATAGGACATCAGACAGTTGTTTTCCTCTGTCTTATCTCACTTAGCATAATGTGTTCAAGGTCTGTGTTGTTGCAAACGGCAGGATGTCCTTTCTCATGACTGAATAATACCCTATCGTATGTATACGCCGCATCCTCTTTATCCATTCATCTGTCGATGGGCACTTAAGTTGTTTTGTATCTTGGCTACTGTGAATACTGCTGCAGTAAATATGGGAGTGCCTTCATGTCTTCAATGTCCTCCTTTCATTTCCTTAGGGTGTATACCCAGAAGTAGGATTGCTGCATCATATAGATACATGTTGAGTTTTTTGAGGACCCTCCATACTGTTTTCGACAGTGGTTGAGACAATTTCCATTCCCACCCACAGCGTACTCCCTTTTCTCCACATCCTCACC